CACATGGTTTTGTTATTTTTACACATTTCTGTTTGTTGCCCGTCGGACGTTGCCAGGCGTTTAGCGCGTGTTTCCGAAAAGAAACCCCATGATTCGGAAGATGCGGCAGGTGCGGCATAGCGACTGCCACTTCACCGGGTCCGGCGATCTCGAAATTGCGGGTGAGCAATTATTATTGGGCTTTACTCTGATTCTGTGTGCCTTTCTTGCTATTTTGCCATCACAGTTCTTAACTCTATAATAGTTCAGGGGAAAACAATTTTCGAAAAACGTCGGGTAAAGAAAGGCAAAAAAGTTACCCAAAGTGAATCAGAAAGACTCTTTATAAATGGAAACTAATACATTCGTAAGATAATTTGTGCATGGCTAGTTTATCAGCAAACAAAAACCTTAGGTCTTTAGATAAAATTAATAACCTATTTTTAAAGACTTTCTAAGGATGTGCAAGAACCCATTATTTTTATGTATTATTCACTATCATTATTTAATAAGCATAAAATTAACAACCGTTAGGGAAATAAAACATTCTTGTAAGCTTTGTTGAGTTTAATTAAATAGTTCCTAGTCCTTTTATTCTTTAATAGTCTTTTTCAATGTTTAAAAACAATTAACTATGAAAACAATATTTTGTGGCAGAAACGAAATTATTTATTGGCTTAATAACAAAATACTTTGGTTCGCTTAGCTTGTTCAGATATTTGGTTATTTTAGGTATGGAACATTAATCCACAAAGGTAAGGGTATTTACAAATGTTCAGCATGAGCTGCCCGTAAAAATTTGCATATGTTCGAGGAAATTTGTGTGACTGTGTGGGTTTGAGCAGCTGCTGGCTAAGTGGCATTCCCATCACTTTTGGGCAGATGCTGTGGGTTCGGTTTCTGCTCTTTATGCCGCCTGTGTTTCAGCCGCGAATGGCATTAAAAACTTTCCTACTTTCCTTTGGCGAGGGGTGTGTGTATTTACACCCACTGTAAGGACTCGTTGACATTTTGTGGCGTTGACAAAATGCCAGAAATATTTTCCATTTTCCTTGCCTCCACCATTTTCTCCTAATACTTTTCATTCGTTCACTCAAAAAGCCAACCTAATTCAATTTTTGCAAATGAATTCACACAGTGGTGTGTTGTTAGAGCAACGCTTAGATTTCAAACTGAATTAATTTAAACTCTTGCAAACTTAAAGCAAGCTTGGCAATTTTGGCTCACTTCCTTAACAGTTGAGAAACCTCTTTCCGCATTTTAAAGTTGTTGCATAGCGACCAAATTGCTGATAAATAAAATGCTCAAGAATATCTTAATTTTTAATACAACTATTTAAATAAATGGTTTTATTGATTTTAAGGAAAATCTTTAAATTGCCAAGGGAATCAAAGATTAATGGTAAAATTATTTAACTTATTTTGAACCCTCTAAAGAATTAGAAACACACAACTAATTGAATCCTGCCTGCAGAACTTAGAACAAGCTTTCAAACTTTTACTTATTTTCCCGAACGGGATAAAAATAAAAGTAGGGGAAAACTCTTTCTCGAAAAAAATAATTCTTGTCAGCATTGAAAATGTGTTTTCCCTTGTTGGGTTAACTAAGCGGTTTTCATCGACCGCAGTTGCAAATGTTTGTGCTGTTCGTATGCTGTTTTAATTGCTTCCGGCTGCAAATTGGATTAGATTAGGCCAAACTGGCCTTTGGCAATGGGTTGGGTCCATTATAGAAGTGGCCAAAGGGAGACAAAACTGACAAGGAACACAAGGGAAAATTGATATGGAAAAGGGCACAAGGTTGGACATTGCACTCACTCTCTCTGTTTGCAATCCACCCAACTGGCACTCAAATTAAATTGCAATGCATCGACTCGATAATTATAATGACCAAAACATGTCGTGTCTACATCAGCTGAACTGAAAAAGTACAAAATAAAAGCCCACAACACATAGGGAGCAACCGCATTAGTCAAACAACGGAACCGCAAACCTATCGCGTTGAAATAAATATTAAAATGCAATAGATAAGCGTGAAATTAATGGCCCCAACTCGGGTGAGTCGACTTAACTGAACGCGCGCCCTTTCAAATGAACAATCCAAGAATGGGTGGTTTTAACCATTAGATACCCTACAATCCAATGTGGATTTGGATAAGATCATACAAAGAACTAAAAGTAAAGAAAACGAAAAACAAAAATATATTTCTTAGGGTGTTAGAAAATGTAATCAGAATTACACAATTTTAATGAAGGGCAATAGCACTATTGAAAATGTATGAACTTTTTGGAAACAAGCTTAAAACAAACCTTAAATATTATCAACTCAGGAAAAAGTTACGGAATAGTGTGAGTTAAAAGAAACGATTATCAATAAAACAATATAAATGACCTAAATTAAAATTGAAAATCTGATATTCCTCGGAAAAACATATCTCAATGTGTGCTACCGAAAAGATATTCTGCTAATGATGGCTCACACTCGCAATTGCTGCATAGTGCGATCGCTTTGCAGTTGACAGCAGTTCTCGAGGGGTTTTTTGGGGGCAACGAAACGTCTAAATGGGGGGAATGAAACTGCTACTCAAGTGACTAAAGGCGTGAAAAAGGTCAAAGGCAGCGGCGACGGAGAAGTGGGTGGATGGGTGGCTTTTCGCCTGCGGCTGCTGCAGACATTTTCATCCTCAGCTCATTTTTTTTTGCCCTCGCAAAAAATGCTAAAAGGGTTTCCCCTTTTTCTCTGCTTTGTAGTTTTTGGCAACAGAAACAGCTTTTTATCATATTTATTTGCATTACTCGGATTGTTGTTTCACTTTTTTGTTTCTAGTTATTTATATAAGACAGCTCGGTCTTTGTTTACAACAATTTTTTAAGACAGTTTAAGGCCTAAACAGGAGGCTGTCATTTATGTAATCTTCTTTGTTTTTAAGTATTGTTTAATTTTCTGGGGCATTTGCGGTAATATTGTTTGTTTTTTCCTCAAGCAGCTGACTTTCTTTTATTTTTTGAAGGGGAGATTGTGGTTGAATCTTTATCTTTATAGTGCGGTGCTATCATGGTTGTTCTTATCACTGTGATTATGGGCGATTTTCAATCACTTGACACCCGAAGGTGGTTGATTTTCTTCATACAAATTATGGATGTTGACTGATGTATGCGTTTCTGCTCCTCTGAAGTTAGTTCACTCAAATAAAAGGAGAATGTAAGTGCAGTTTCAGAGCAGAGAAGAGGAGATTGCTGCTGCTGATGCTGCGTTTGGCGTTTTTTGGCCGGGCGGCGCGCATCTGCAGGCAGCAGGCGATGGAAATCCGAGAGGAAAACTGAGGAAAACCCGAGTAACCCGGCGGTGAGCGAACGAACCTCTTGGCTGAAACTCTGCGGAGCAACTGGAGCAGCTGCCCCACACGAATCTACGAATCCGCATATAAATCCACGAGCTCACGCAGCGACGAACGCACCGAAAACATTCGCAACAGCAATTGCCTTAACCCACTACCCTCAAGGGGGGTTAAAATTGGCGAAATGAAAACTGAAAAGCTTTTCATGAGAGAAATTCAGAGAATGTTTTGCCTGAGAGCTTTTACGCTCTCTGGTTGCTATTGTTGGGGTCTTGGGGCTTTCAGATGGGCGGGAATTTCGTTTTTCCCCAATCAAATTTAGGATTTGTTTATTTTACCAAAAAATTATTTTTGACTAATTCCGTGTATAATAATAAAATGGTAATTCAATTGAGATTAGTTATGAAAACTAATGGTTTTATTAAGTCTAAAACCCAAAGAAAAGCTCAAATCAATTCATAAAGCGTTTGTCAAGCTTAATATGTCAAGAATATTTGTACCCCAAGATACAAAATATAATAATTCAGAAATATACGGAATAAAAAAAAGCAAAATTCAGAAATAATGAATTATATTATTTTAAGCCCTAGCATACTTTAATTCTACATTTTGTACAACACTACCTTTTATAAATATGACCTAGGCAACTATTTAATCTCGTTTTTTATTATATTAATTTCGAGTTTTGTACCATCATAAAATATAATTAAGTAGAAATAAACACTGAAAATAGTTGTTGATGTTAGAAAGATCCTGAAGGCATAAAAAACCGTCACAAAGTGAATCCCTTAACCTCGGCAACCTCTTGCACATAGGACAAACGGTTATGCGGTCGTAAAACCGCTCGAAATCTGCGCTGCTTAGCTTTAGTGCAGGACGCAAGCGAAATCTGGTAGGGAATGCCGAAAATGCTGCCCGTTGACAGTTCGAAGACGCAAGCAGACAGACCTAACTATAAAGAAGTGTCACATAAAATTTACATTAAGCAAATGTAACGAAACAGCGCTAAGAGCAGTCATATATAATCCAGCACACACTCGACCTAGAGCAGGGATCCATCCGTGTGCGGATACAGACTGGGAACTGCCGACAGCCAGTGGTCTCGAAGACTTCCACGCACCGCACTCGGCACGCAGCAGCGAGGAAAATCTCATTAAGCCCTGCTATGAATTTTAAACATGTTGCAGGACCCCGAACCGAACGGAGCCGAGTCCTGGCGAGTGGGAAAACTAGTTCAGCTGGCCAATGGCAGCAGCAGCTGCCTCCAAAAATCTGGGGAGAGATAGATGTGTTGGATGGGGATGAGGGTGCAAGCTGTTTCCATGTGAGGTAGGACCGAAGAGAAAGTTGTTTCAAAAGCTTCAAAGCTACCTCGAAAATACGGGGAAAAGTCAGTGAGAAGAGAACAGCCAAAAAAATAATGGGATCACTTTTTAGTTTAAATTTTAAAAGACTGATTTATTGAAGTTTGTGGCTTTTGATTAAACTTTCTGCAATCCCTTAAGTTTAAGCGATACCTTTCGTTCGAAGCATTACAAGAGATTTTCAATTCTGCGATTATATATTACTAATAGATAAATTTAAAATTCATAAATTTACAATTTTGCCAAATAATTTAGCATAAATGTTTTTAAATAATAAGATTGGTAAGCTATGCTATCAATAAAATATTATTAAAACTTACCTTATTATCACTGTCTGTGGTATTACCCGATCCGAAACTAGCCAAAGAGCAGCGATCGTGATCGTTCTCCGTGAGCTGTTCATCCAAATCCCGAGAGGATCTTTGCGAGGAGCCAGAATGTTTAGCTGGAGACTTGGGCAGGGTTAATGAGGTGCCCGAGAAGCACGTCTCCTGCATCACTTCGCGTAGTTTCTTCACCCAGATCTGAAAATTGCGAGCCATTAAAATTAAATCAATCTGATGGAGAGAACATATATTCAATCTCTTACCTGTTTGGTTTCCAAGCTGGTTGCTTTTAAAACGATCCTGCAATCCGACAGCATGGGTGAACGACCAGTCCACACGGCAAACTTGGTCTCATCGCCTTCAATGTGCTCCGTGATGCCCATATCCGTGGTCATAAGCTTGCTCTTAAACTGGTACTTGACTACGCTATAATCCTTGACCTCCTTGGCAAACAGGAGATACATTTCAAACAGGAACACACGTCGCTCTCTGCCCTTCCGGATGATTTGCTTCGTATCCCAGGCTTGGAAGGCATCCTGAAGCACAACTTCACCTAGTTTGTCTATAGAGACATCACAGTTTTCCAGCAGAGAAAGATGCATGGCATCGTTGGCTTTCTTGGGAACATTAAGCATAACTTCGAGACCTTCTTTGATTTCGCCATGGCTCTCCTCGCAGCAGGATAGAAGATCCTTAAGTAACAGCTGGTATTTGGTGATCCTCTGCACGGGTTTGATGAGATAGGCGGGCAGGGGATGATCCACCTCCAAACGCCGCTGCAGCTCCTCAAAGAAGCTGCCACCGTGCTGAACTAGCAGATTATTCGATGTTGGTTTGTTCTTGCAGTAATGCACATACATGTCGAACTTGGAGGCCCAGGTCACAAAGCAATGTCCCACATCCTCCGGCATTGTTTCATATTTCTCTAGCTCTCGCAGGAAAATCTTCTGATGGAAGTGGTGTATTTCCTTGATATTTCCAAATATCACATCTTCCTGACCAATGAGTGCAGGGGGCACATTTTTTCCTCCTCTGAATTCCTCCAGGAAACACTTGATGCAGGTTGCCAGATCATTGACGTAGGCCCTCTCTGTTTGCATAAGTTCGGCCATGATAAACTCTTTCCTTCTGGCCGACTTGCGCTTCTCCTCGTTAATTTCCTTATTCTCCTTGTTGCTGCTGTTTAGCTTGGCTTCCAGCGTAGGATCCGAATGACGATCTCCGCTGCTGACGCCAGAGGAGGAACTCATCGAACTGTTTCCATCGGATCCCAAAAGTAACTGCTGCTGGGACATGCCCAGAGATTTCTCCAACTGCTCGCAGTAGCTGTCCATGCGGTTGCTGAAATCCTTGTACCGCTGATCCACCGATGCCACCCATTGCTTGATGTCACTGGCATGAGCGTGACCTTTTTCCACCAAACTATCAGCTAATTGGATCAGTAGCTTAACCCTTTCACGCGTCTCCTTGGCAGTGCTCCGGAATTCGTTGTGCTCTTTGAGCAATCCCTCCGTTTCCTCTTTGCTTATGCCCACCAAGTTGGACCTTGAGGAGAGGTATGCTTCTCCTGTGTTGTGAATCCATTCGATAGCCTGTTTGGCACTTCTTTCGAAGAGAACAAACTGCTGACACTGATCCAGAGATTTCTTGCGCAGCGTCCAGTAGTCGAGAACTTGATTTTCCTGATTCAATAGCTTGTCCAGTTTGCTCTTCACATGAGCTTCACAGTTTCCTTTATACTGATAACACTGCTGGGATCGGTTGGCATATTTCAGGAAAGTCTCTGCCGTGCGACGCGCCAGTGTACATGCTTTCAAGAAAGCCTCCTTTTGCTCCTGATGCTTTGAGATTAGTTGGACGATGGTTTGAGCTTTGTCGCTGCCGCCCCCACCGCCACACCAGTCATCCTCCCGCTTGTACTCCCGCTCTAAACTATCCAATACCGAGCACACCTGCTCGGCTGTTTTATAGAAGTTTATCGAGGCGGTTACCAGTTTGTGTCGTTCCTCAGCGTAGGTCACCAATTGCTGCCACTTCTTTGTCACATCGTCGCTGATCTCCCTTATGGATTGCGGATCGTAGTGGTTGGCATTTATCAGGGCATCCGCTCGGTACTTAACCTGCACCGCCGATGTATGTGTCTTCTCAATGGCAATCTGGAAGGAAAAGAGTTTTATAGTCGCGAAACAAATGATTATATATATTTATTTTAACCTGGAACTGCTCATGACCCTTCCGCAGCTGTTCGGCCTCCTGCAAACTATTCGGTGTGACGAAACTGGCCACCAGCATGGCCTCTCCATTGCGGATCCACGAAATCACCTGGTTGGCATCGTTCTGGAATTGACATAGCTGCACCGCTTGCTCGAGCTTAGCACGCTTCGCCTCGGACATTTCCTCCAGATCGATCTCCCTTTCCCGCAAGAAGTCCAGCAGATATTCAATCCTAGCCTGAGCCGTGTGCGTGGCATCCGCCATGGAGATGAAGCCAGCGTTTTCGAAGAGCTGCAGCAGGTCCTGACCCTGCTGCAGGACCTCGTAGGTGGCATTCTGTATATCCGTCACCGATTCGTTGTGCATGCGGATGAGCTGTTCGGCCTTTTTGTAATCTCTGGAGAGATCTGCATGCTGCAGTTCTTCGGACCAGATCTCCAGTTGCGAGGACAACTCCATGGCATCCCGCTCGAAGTAGCGCAAACGCAGGATGAGATCGGCGCGGAACTTTCGGGCGGACCAGAGCTCCTCCAGCTCCACTTTCTGTTTGCTCAACTTCTCCAGAGTGGCCTCCAAGGCGGCAATGGAACCAGTATTGTCGGCATACTCCAGGGATCGCATTTCCTGCAGCAGAGCTTCACCCTGGGCTATGGTAGTAAGGCAAACATTCACAGAGATCTCCTGCTGATACTGCTGCAATATGCGTTCAATGCCCTCGAGGTTCTCCTGAGAAAGGCGCGTTTCATCCGTGCTCACATCTGTTCTAAGCTTATCTATCCAGGCGGTCACGTCCTTTTCGTGTGTGTAGAAAATTACAGCCATCTCTAAGCGGCGCCTCCTTTGCTCGACCCTCTCCGCAAAGCTGCCCACTTGCATTTCCAACTCTCTGGCCACTGAATATATCTCATTGGGATCGGCTTCACCACTTCTAGCCAGTTCCTCCGCAGCTGCCAGAAGTTTTTGGGCATTACTATATGTGTTTTGCGCCACGTTCTCGAAATTATCGTGCGAGGTCTGATAAACCCTGGCTTTGTGAAAATTTCTGCCTATACCCGTATTTTTCCTCAGGAAAACTTCGCCATGATTTTTTAACCAATCCAAGACCTGCTTTACATCTTCTTGGAAGAGTCTAAGAGCTAGGGTCTGGTGTAATCGCAACCTTTCCTGATGCCACTTGGCTTCCAGAGTGCGATGGTGTCCCAGGATCTGGTGAATCACAGCCAACACATGACTGGCGCCTTCGCTGTAATCCGCTGCCGGATTCTGTCTCTCGTATTTGTTAAAACTACCACCGTTGCTATTCTTTCGATGATCGGGAACGCCCGGAGGCGGAGGTTGATTGCAGACCTGTACCAAGTGATCCAATTGATACAGCAGCTTCTTGCTGGTGGAGTGAACTTCCGTATAAGCCTGGCACATGGCTTCGTACAGTGATTGGTGTGTCCGGATGGCCGTTTCCAAGCTCTGGATATCCGAGGGAAGAGGTTGCGATGCCTGACAAGCGGCTGCCCAACTGGCCACACTGTTGCAATATTGCTCCGCCTTGTGATGAAATAGAACACTCAATTGCAGGACAGCAGTTCTCTCATCCAAGCCCGCTGCAAAGTCCTTCCAAGTTCGGTCCAAACGTTGAGCTAGCGTTTTAATATGCTGGGCTGCATAGTGCTGATTTTCGATCAGTCGAGCTGCCACTGCCAAAATCCGATCGATATTCACAGATACATTCATGGAGGCCACGGCAAACTTTTGGTGCTCATCCTGCAGAGATTTGGCCACGGAGTAATTGTGTCCAATCTCCACGTAGCTCATCTGGAACACATCGCGGTTGTGCAGGATCCAGTCGAACATCTTCTCGCAGTCCTGTTCGAATAGGCGCCACTGGTAGCACTGGTCTAGTTTCACCTTTTTGTGCTGCCACAGCATCAGCAGCTTCTCCTGACCGGTGTGAATGAGGTCAATCTGCCGCAAGGCTTTGTTCACCGCAGCCGACATGTCCGGATTGCTGCTCACCGAACGAGATTGCTGCGAGGGCTGAGATTGCTGGCCGGCGGAGGAAGTGCCCGAGTCCATATCTGAACCTCCGGGTCCGGCAGATTGCTAAAAAGATTAATGGCGATTAGAAAAGTGTGCTTTAACCCAAATAAATATCGAAAAATTAGTACAACTTTAAATTTCAAATTTTAAAGGAAATTCAGCTTTAAATTTAGAAAGAAATCCATTTTAAACTTGAGACTAATTTTTAAACATCTAAACCCTATTTTAAATCTACTTGGCATTGTGTTTTTTAATACCTAAAATAAAATAAATATTTATCAATAGGAAATGTAACATAATGCTGTCCAATTAATATTTGAATTATTCATCTGGTTAACTTTTTATTTGTTCAGGGCTTTTTTATATAAACAAATTTAAGTTTAACTAATATAAGACAACTTAATTCATTTCTACCCACCAAATGGCAGACAAAACAACACATTTCCATAAAAAAAAACAGAAGTGTGCTGTGTGGAAGTATTGATTTTGGCATATATTTCGACAAAGTGAATGCTAGGCCAAAGGCTATTGACTTTTTCTGTTAATTTATTGAATGTTTATTATGACTATACACTTTTATGAACAACTCGTGATACTTTTTATTTGTTTACAATTTATATTTACGGAAGAAGTGGTAGACGTAGCCAAATTAAAAGGCATATAGATTTCAACAGCGGTCCCTAATTTCTTGTTAAAAGCTTAAAGACTAAGAGATTTGTCGATATTTATATCCTTAAATCGGTTGCTCACCTGACCGCCTGGCGGGGCCATCGCATTAATCTTGGCCAAGAGTTTCTTGCCCTGTTTGTCGAGGTCCTGGATGGGCAGCATAGTGATCTTAATGCGCATTTCAGAGTGGTGGTCGATGGCGTGGTTGGCGAGCGTGGCGTCCTCGGCAAAGTCGTTGCGATTGAGGTCCTCCTGCAGATCGTCAATCCTATCGGCCATATCACCGGCCTGCCAGAAGAAGTCCTCGATGGCAAGCCGGGCGTCCGTCCACTGCTGATGATCGTACAACTGTTGGCCCTCGAAGTCCCCCGTCAGTTGGTGACTTTCCGCGATCTTATTGAGGGACTCTATCGACACCGTCGTCGTCTCGAACTTGTACTTGTGCGAGGAGATCGAGGCACGCTGCTTCTGCCAGAAATTGTCCGGCTTGATGATCACCACGTTGTGTATATTCGCGCTGAAGTGTTCCTGCAGCACCTTCAATATTGTCTTCACGTTGGTCGAACAGTTGCCATTGCCGCGCATATCGATGATGACTGTGAATCCGAGGTTCTTGGCGGCGTCGCTGCAAAATAAGCCAGGTGAAAGGTGTGTTCGGTTAGAGAGAGCGATCGGAAGAGAACTTAAAAAAAGGAGAGAGTACACTGCGGGAAAATATTCCAAAAGTCGACTTATAATATAAATTAAACTAATGTTTTTCTACCTTATTACTTGTAAAACTAATATTAATAAAGTTCAATTCACACTTACTAAGGTACTTAGTTTTAAATTACTTCATTAAATAGATTAAGTTTAAGATCTTGAGTTGGGATTCATAGGCGTCTTTCAAAAACTTCTGAACTGTTTTGTTTGGTGATAACAATATTTGAACATTGCAATTCATGCTATTTTGGTGATCATATTCTTAAGTTTCTTGTTTTTTCCGAAGTGCAGCGTCTTCCCTGAAGTACGTGAGTGAGAGTGTCGTGAATCGCTCATGGTTCGTTGCTCTGTTTACGTCGCTTGCATAAATTATGACAGCACGGCTTCGTATGGTCTGAGGTCGGTTTCTATTGCTCTGACACCAATTTTAGCTAATAATTTCCTACACACCTCCTTTCCCCCAACAGCCCGCCCAACGCTCTGATTTGCATTCCTTTTGAATTTTAATCGCTCCATTAACTATAAATATTTCTTTCATTGATGTGTGCGCAACTCCGCCTCCTTAGATTCCGCCTATTATTCCTATTATTCCCTCTGTTTTGCCGCTATTTCTTGGTCCGATTGTGGCCAGTTCTGGTTTCTCAGTTCCCGGTTTTAACCACGTTATCTTCTCGTGTTTATACATAATGTCGTGTGGTTGTTTGATGGGCATTTCTAGGGGTTTCGGCCCCTAGAGAACAATGCGAAAAGTGAAGAGGCGTCTTCTCAAATGCATTTTAAATTCAACAAAGTTTCCCTCCAACACGATAGTCTTGGAGAACCCAGAACTTTGGTGTTCCGAATGGTTTAACCTCATGCAAGTTCTCAAACCCTTCTGCAACTTTTTATCGCGCGACATATCTGAATATTTGTGTATTTCTCAGGAGAGGCATGGGCAACTTTTTTGATGACTAATAAAAACCCTCGAAACGGGCTATTAAAAATCGAAATTGAAACCGAGAAAGAGAGACAGGGAAAAGTGTCGCCGGCATGTAAAAACCGAAAAAAAAATCCAAACACAAAGTCCAATCAAAAATCGTTTATTTAACCCATAAATCCGAGGGTTTTTGAGGGAGGGGGGTGGAGTAATACCCTCAAAGGAAGTCCAGGGAATGTACGTGTCTAAAATGCTGAGAACTCCCTCGATTCAGCCGATTCACAGAATTTGCATTGACGACAGCAGTGAGAAGACGCCTTGACTTCAGTTGCCAATTTGGCCGAGTCTCGGAAACCGAGAGACAAAGGCACAAACATGCGCAGAAATAAACAAAAAGTGTTTCACGCCAAACCAAATAAACAAAAACAGAAGCGAAACATAAACGAAGGCAAAGCAAAACAAAAAAGAAAATTAATCTTTTGTTGTTCAAGTTCTGAATACCCTTTATTAACATGATCAAAGGTATATTAAATTAAATAACAATATGATAACCAACATTTGATAAATTGTAGGAAAGATTACTAAAATGGAATGAAACAATATTATCTTACAAGTTGATTCACATACTATATTTTAAAATTATACAAATTTGTTGAATCTGTTATCTATATACATTATATTTTTACGCTGAAATTGCCTTATACAAAAGATTAAAAAAAAGATGATGCTTTTTATTTTTTATCTGATAACACATTTTAAAAACGAATTATAGAAAAATTAAGCGATTGAGTCCAACTAAGTTACTTAAATTAATTGTAGGTCTTTATTTAAAAACTTCATGTTAGGGTATAAAAAATGAAAACCAAAAATAAGGAACCAGAAGAAAGAAAATCAGCAGATAAAGCGCACAGTGGGCAGACTGCAAGAACGGACCACAAATTCCGTGGATGGCAGCGATGAGATAAGGGAACCCCAGTTCCATTTTGTATATTTGGAATATGGACTCCGACATCGATGGCGTCGTCAGCGAGTCGATTTTCTTATCGGCCGAACCTGAAGTGTCTGCCATGGTTCCATTATTTGTGTCGTTCCTCGTTTCTGGGTGGGGGATCCAGTGAAATGTGGGACACTGATAATACAATGCTTTGCTTGTTACCCGGCTGATAACAACTAAATGGAATACGGCGTGGGAATTTGCCTCCAAGTGATTCATGGCTATCGAAAGTTGTTAGCACTTCAATACAGCTGAAATAACTCTACATCATTCTATGATTGCGCCAATAAGCATGACTAAATAAGCGAGGAACGTGCGTTTCTCCCTTTCTCAATGGTTGTCGCTTCTTTTTCTGATTTTCTACTTCTTCAGCAGATACTATTTTTCATCAGATACTCTTGTCGTGTGTCGCAATCTTGGGTCGCCATCATCATCAACTCCCGGCTCTGATTATCATTCCGAGTTTGTTGCCGTTGGCAGACATCTCGATAGCAGTTTGTTAGAATGCCCTAGTCTTGGGAATAAGTTTGTTCACTACTGGATTCTTTTAGTTCAAATTTAAAAAATCTTATACGTGGTATTTATGAACATAAAACACTTGGGAAAATACAATTAAATAAAAAGACGTAAATATAATTATCTAAGGTCATGAAATTTAAACAATTTTAAATTTATTTCTCAATAAAATAAATATAGAGAAACTTGTCTAATAGTTTTAATCGTTTTAGCTAAAATTATTCTATTACTTCTTCAGTTAAGGAATTAGGAAACACCTCTAAGCTATTGTTTAAATTAATTAACCGATTAATAGCTTCTAACTTTTACTTTTAAGGTCTATAAAGTTATGTGGTTCTTAAGTTCATTGTTACGGAGGCATCACTGTTCGCCCAAATTACCCTTTCTTTTCTTTCTTTCTTGTTTTATGGCTCATTTTGGTTTTTGTTGTGGTTTTTTTAGTGTTTGGGGCAGCAGCAAAAAATATTCGCATTCTTTGAGTCTCGGTCTTAAAGTCTTTGGGAGCCGGTCCCCAGTTTTTGCCCATATGTATGCGGTCGTATCTGTGTGTTCTTTTGCTGCTTCTTCTTGGCTCTTGGTGCTTTCTTTATCGCACAGATTTATGAAACTTTTGTTGCTGCTAGTTTTTATTTAAAAATGTGTACATTTATGACTTTTTTGCACTGCCTGACCCTCTTTTGCCACCCATTTTAACCTCACCCTCTTGCGATTCAATGTCAACAGCAGCTGTGAAAGAGATGGGAGGCAAGAACAATGTGCGTGCTGTTCTTGCAATCGTCTGACGATGATGATTCATAAAAATGCGACTGCAGGCGGACGACTATAACAGGAAAATCAAGTGGAATGTGGCACTGCAGCTGCAGCAGCTGCTACCCCCTCCCTTCTCCCTCGTCCACCCCTGCATCCTCACCCTATTCAGAACATATATACGATATATAGGTGCGGGTGAGGCGACGACGTCGTCACTCTACCGAAATTGCAAACGAAGCGCAGCCAGCGACGTCGCGACGTCAGCTGACACAATGGATTGCCATTGTACTGGTACAGTGAGCCCCACTAACGCGAAACAACTGGTCTTTGGATTTTCTAGAATTTAATAGCGTCATTAGCGGATTATATAAAAGCAATTAATTACTTAATAATGTTCATTGCGATAAGAAGCAAATTGAAATTAAGGTTGTGAAGGACAGATTAGTTTTCCTAGTGCGGAATCCGAAAGACCCCAATAACTACAATAACAAGAGATCACTGTAAAATAATAACAAAATTGAAGAGGCTGGAGAAATTTCTGACCAATGCCGCCAAAGGCAACATTGCAGTATAAATATCTAAAAACTTGACGTATTCATTTCACATAAACTAAAAATAAAGCTTACAATCGTGCAATACACTTTAAACGTATACTTTAATTACGCTAAACCGGCCTGGACGTTAATATAACAAAAACGTGATCTAATAAAAAAATATATCTATTCTGTCAACTGAAATATTTACATTTTCATTAGGTGCCACATGATTTGGGTGAATCATTATAAGATCTAGGAATTTTGATTTTTTTCGTGGTCGTTAAATGACTTAGTGATGAAAAATGTCTATAAAAAACCTAGATGCATATGCTGCGGATTGAGTCGACTACAAAAACAATAAAATAACATATTTAAATTTATGGAATAGTTTAAATAGTTTTAAATTTAAGTCCTGCACCATATTAGCCAATAGGGATTGCTGTTACCTTCTAATTTGAAGAACAGTATCATTTTTTTATTGCTATTTTGTGTTATTTAAAAGTGCAAAGCGTAGTTTTTATTATTACTAATAAAAATAATATTTTCCTTAAAAGTTGTTTACATTTAGTGTTGTCTTTCTGCTTTTGTTTTGAATACTTTTTGATACACGTGTTTGAATAATCTTTGCTGTCTAAATACTTAAATCATCGCTCACTTAAAACTTCTCCAATTAAGAGGCAAACTTAGTTAGCTTAGGGTTAATTGGGGTTCTGCTAACCTGGGAATGCTGATCAGGTAGCTAAGGAGTCGCCGCAGATCCTCCGGCTTCAGTCGATCCCGACGGGGCGTGGCAGGGAAGCAGAGGAGCGGTCCGCCCCTTCGATCCCGTCCGCCGGTTAAGAAAACGACCCGCTCCTGCAAGAGGGTCAGCAGATCCCTGGCACGTTGCCCATCCATTTTGGCAACAGGGGGTTAAGTGGAGCGACGAACACGAGGGTTAAACACTGGATCTCCACCCGATTTTATTTTTAATCCAACGCTGGGCACTGCAGCATAACGAATTCAGCCTCGAATTTCACTTGGCTAACAGTAGTATTAGTTATTATTACGATCCGCTGCTCGATGTTGTTGCATTTTGGCTTTTATTCATTGATTTTCGCGAATTTCTCGCTGGCATTTTCATGGTCACTCCTTTGATGTTTTGTTGTTGCGGTTTGTTTGTTTGTTTGTGTCGGTGGACATGGATGAAAAATTAATGGATAAGCGGGGGTACATATTAGCAATAGTTATTACTCTTTCTTTATTTTTTTCACATTATTTCCAATTATTTACGCAATTTCATTGGTTTTTATCCCTATTTCAATGGAAAAGTGGAGTTTTTTTCTTCAGTCACCCTCGCGTTTTTGTGGGTGTGGGAGTAAGAGGGAGATAAAAACAGACAAACACACACAAACATAAGGGGTGCATATATGGTACATATGTACACATATGTACTCCCGTTAAATGTCATAAATCACACGCAAACTTAAAACTTAAAACCTAATAAAACACGCACGCACACTCAAAAACATACTTCGTAATTATTTTTAAACAGACAATCATTTGTTATTCCAAATGGTTAAAAATCCACGTTTTCTTGCTTTTAATTGACTTAAATATTAACATTAACTCCAGCCCAAACACAAGAACACACACACAGAGGAATGTATATATAGCTTGCACATATATATAATCTGTATCATCACATCATCCGCAAGCAGTTCTCTGCGTCTTGACTCTTCTTCTTTCCACTGCTTGTGCCACCAAATTGATTTTTTTCACTCGCGCTGCTTTTGTTTTCCATTTGTTTTTTCCTGGGGAAAGCACAAATTACCGTTGTACGCAAATTGCGGAGCATTTCAATATATGAATATATTTTTCGTTTTAAAAGCGGCGATTTTCCGAAAAGCGCTCTCTGTTTGTTTAAACTAATAAGGTTTTGCGAAATTAACGCTCCCGTCTAGAGCTGTCAAACTATCGATGGTACTATCGATGGTTAATAGCAGGATTGCCCATCGGTTTTTCAAAAACTATCGCGATAGTATCGCCAAATATACATTATTAGCTCTTATTAAAAGGCTCTTATATGCTAACTAAAAAAAAAATAGGTTGCAGGAGAACTCTATATTTTTAAACTATATCAACAGAAAAAGTTCAAGTCGATACTATCGCGAAAAAATAAATAGCAAGTGAATGGTTTGACAGCACTAATCGTCAGAAGTGTGAGCGCATCCGGCAACGCCGGTATTACTGTATTAGATAAAAACATCAATTAATTTATTTTATAGCTAGGTAAGTTAACTGAGAGAAGTAAAGTTATATGAATATATTTATTATAAAATATTTTTATTTTCTGGACTTGATTTATTATTTTTTTTAACATACAACATTTCAGCCGTTCATCACAAAAAAAATTAAACCCTATTTGGGTTTTATGATTGTTTTTATGATTTCTTAAGACTATTGTAATAAATTTAAGTTAGCTATTTAAAATAAAAGCAATCACCAAGAATAAGCATTTAGTTAAAAAAAATCAATTTTTCTAAGCCCTCCCGACAAAATTTGGCGATCGTCAGTGTGAAGAATTAGTCATTTCTCCCTTATCTATGTATGTATGTATGTATGTATGTATGTATGAATGTACAATTTGTTTTTTGTCTTAGTTGAGAAATGCTTCAGTCGAACTTATGTAGCTCAAACACTTAAATCGAAACGTATAAAAGCGGATTAGAGATAATCTTACAAAATCTCTATAAATTTAAAGAATTTAGTAGTGAAAAATTGGTCAAACGGAAGTTATACGGTTATTTCCCTGTTTTGTGTTTATTTGAACATTATTCAGTTCGCTTCAAGTATCCACACAGTAAAGTCAAATCATCATTGTAAAGCCTTGTCGAAATACTCTTGTACGCAAATTATTTTTATATTCAGCAAAAATATATTATTTGAATTGTAATTATATAATAACGCATTCGGATTATTGTAGATCTTATTCGAGTTCTAAGTGAAAGTGAAAATCTATGGGTCTCAAAAAGGTCTCTTGATAATTAACCGACTGAGCCAAAAAAATGGACGAGAACGAGGAATTTATTCTCAAGATCGACTGCCTTTTGGAGATAATAAAATATGTGATTGCTGATTGCGAGGCGGAGCGCAGTTATTGCGAACTGTTAAAATATAATGATTTAATCAACTTTGTGCTGGCCCATGAATTTTTCCTGGAACTGCTTAAGACTCATCACAAACATCTGTATGCGGATCTTGAAATGCCTCTGGTATGCAGAATTACAAAGATACTAATCGATCGACGAGTCAATAAGTCATCAAACGGGAATGAATATTTCTGGAAATCCCTTCTGCAATCTATCAACCAAAAAAGCCCTTTCTATGTTAGATTATCTTTCGATGATGTTAGCATATACGCTCGAATAACTAGTAAGTTAGATACTTTTGTAACATTTATAAACTTACAACGAAGTCCAAGTTCATATTATCTACTATTTGAAGGAAAAATAATTTATTTTCTAAATAATTAATAATATATTTATTAATATATTAAATTTGTTTTTTTTAGGCATTTTAGATAAGCACCTCTCATACGATTATACAGAAAAGAAAAATGTAAATATTTCATCAGAAATGTTAATTGACATCTGCCAATGGAACCAAAATTTGAGATCCTTGTCCTTTGAGGACACTGAAATCCAAGGAAGTCCTTCTGATTTTGCTCCCCATTGCGGAAATCTTGAGGAGCTAAGAATTAAGTTGAATCCGGAAAACGGCGTTGCCCAATATGCATCGTTTGCCAAGTTACCCCATTTTAAATCATTTATTATAACTGGAGTTGAAAGTGGATCTCAACTACTATTCTTTAATGATTTAAAGAAGTGGCCTAAAAGTCTTACACCTTTAACACTGACCATCGAATATATTATGACCGAAAAAAGAACGTCAATTACATTTGCGACTTTAAAATCTTTAAAATCTTTAAAAACAAAAAGTATCGACTTTTTTAAGTACGGTAAACACTGTGTGTTATTTAAAGCTGAGTACGATTTATGTAAAATATCGGAAGAAAATTTTTCAATTGAAGAATCTCTCGCAAACAATATTTTCGATAGGAATGTCTTCATTAAGTTTGACAGGAATAAGGGAGAACTTCAACTAAAGATAGATCAAAATTCGTACATTGGCCAAATGGGTTCCTTATCAAAACTTCCCAATCTAAGTTGCTTGATCATAAATAATGCATGTGAACGAAATCCCAGTACACTTGCACAATTTCTCAGATCAATGGTTCCAAATGGGTCATTTGCTTTAAAATACTGCATAATAACTAAGGGGTCTGTAAACCAATTAGTGTGCCTAGAACTTGCAAAAATAAACTCTATTCGGTTACTGGCGTGCGAGTTCTCCGAATTGGACTTGGTCAAGTTTTTGAAACCATTAACTAACTTGCAGTACCTGGTAATCGATGCTCAAAAGTCCACTAATTTCAATACTTCAGACGTAGTTTCTAGTATGCTAAATGCATGTCAGGTACATGCTACTTTAAATTGCCACGATTTTAAAATCATCTTAAACAAGATTAAGAAAACTATGGTAGTTCTTATGTACACGGAGTGTAAGGCTGACATTCTAACACTTCTTGCTCTTCTTAAGGACGTTAACACCCTCGAAATCTCAGGGTGGCCAACTGGATCACTTAATCCACTTTTCGATGTAATTGCCACCAGCAATTTAAGTGCCATCGAAGAATTAAATATAAGATATTTGCATGACAAAAGTTTTGAAGATGTCTCAAAAGTGTCAGAAATGCAAAACATTAAGAAATTGTCATGCTCCTTTACAAATTTTGCTGGAATTGAGAGTTTGGCCGACTTGAATAATCTTGAGGATTTGACTATATCAGGAGAAGGAAACCTAGCCCCACTTTTCAAGAAACTCGCTGACAGGAATAGAGTACAGCGTATTCACCTTTTGAAAAAAATCGTTCCCGAAGAGGTTAAAACGCTTTCCCAAATAAGGTCAATGAAAAAACTACACTGCCGATTTACTGAATTGGAAGATTTACAGTCCTTGTCTGAGCTAGCCAACTCGAGTGTTGAAGATTTGATTGTAAACTTATCAAGTCCAAGCAATTCCCTACAAAAATTATTTGCAGCATTTTCTTCAAGTACCACCACTAGGCTGCAGTGCCTAGAAATTTTTTACAAAACGGATGACACTGCCTCTTGTAAAACTCTTGACACAACAGAAATGTCTGAAATTTCTAAAATAAAAGGTCTAAAAAAATTAAGTGCAGGATTCATTAATGCAGAATGCACGCAGATGTTAGTCCGATTACCAAATCTGGAGCACTTAGTAATTAAACACGTTTGGCAATATGAAATAAGCCCATTGGAACATCTTTTGTGGGATTCGGTTCACAAGTCACCGAGTACTCTTAGAAAATTAGACTTAAAATTCTGGATTGGATTCAATGAATGTAACTCCGTGTCTCAACTTGAAACTTTGGAGTCTTTAAGTTGCAAATTGAACGAAGAACCGGGGATAGAAATTTTGGCGAACATAAAAAAACTAAAAGAGTTAATCATCTATAAGGCAGAGGGCTCTCTCAGTAAACTTTTTCGGGCTTTTGCATTGAAAAGTGAGTCAACTTTACAAGAACTTCATACACCAATTATATGTTCAGATGAGATACGTGAAATATCGCATATTGAATCGCTTTTGAAGCTAAATATTTATAATAAAAGAGGAATTAACTTCTGGCTAAATCCTCCAAATGGCCATAATTCACTAAACATAGATAGCAATATCTTATTGCCGATTTTTCAATCTTGTCAAAAACTCGATTGCGTCACATTCGATTTTGAATCCGGCGTGGCAATGGCTTCCAACTTTGTAAGCGAAGTAAACACAATTTTGAAATCCATAAGGAATTCTTCACTTCAAAAACCGCTGAAACTGGCTTTACTTGGAAAATCCACATCTTCAAAATTCCACGTAAGTATTATATAAGTGGCACAACCTATCAGTTAATAATAATGTTGTTTTAACAGTTAGAAGACATAGATGAAGCATTCTTGACTGTCTCCTATTCAACAAGTGATCTATATAATGCTGTAGGACTTTCATATGATTCATCCGAATCATATTCCAACGACTCAGACATCGCCAACCCAGATGAATATGAATTAAACAATTTCAATCTTTTTTCTGGCTGAGCAGAAATATATATTATAAATATAAATATGACTGACTTTAATATAAAAATGTATTAAGTCTTTGATTTAGCTTCCTCACTTTAATTGAACTATTGAATGGCTAGCCGCAAAACCAGTTCCGTTTTGTTTCCCAAGCGACTGCTTTATTTGTTTCAGATTCTCAAAAACGAATAATTGGAGAAAATCAAGCTTATCGTAGTGCGTACAAATGTTCAGGGCGACGCAGTACAAAAGTTCATACATACATACTTATGATTTGTGTTCACATATGCTGATTGTAAGCTGCTTGCCCGATCCCGATTCATAAGACAAACAATATTTTAAATTCTTTTCAATAAAAGGAAAAACTTTTAGTCATTCTAAACATTATTTCTCATGTCTGTTTATAACATAAGTAATAACAAAAAATAAGCAAACTTCGGCAAGCCGAAGTTTATATACCGCAGCTTATATACTTGCAGTTATTACAAAACAATGAGCTCAAAGAAATTTGGTCGACTAAAATCGAATTTTTGAAATTTTAGTAACACCTTTTTGCACCCTTTTTTTTTGCCCACCTTTTTTTTGAAAATATGGAATCTTCAAAACTTTTTCGAAAACATTAAAGTTGACTTTTTCACATTTTTTTTGAATATATTTGCCTGCAGAAAATATCGTTTGCCCACCCTTTAAAATTCGTTATTTTGAAAAAATAAAAGATGCCCACTTTTGCTCAACCAAGCGCGCAGAATCTATAAAATTCGTGCCTATTAAATATTTTTATTTTATTTTACTGGAATCACTTGCTATCAGGCCAATTTGATTGTAGTTTGACATACAAATTAACCATATGGTTTCTTTTCGCTTTCATAAAAAATTAGAGTATTTGGGCAGAATAAGTTTTGTTTGGCCAACATCTGGTTTATTTGTATTTCAAATTAAAATCAAGTTAGGAAATCTATACGCACATGGCGCGGTTTTTATAAAAGCGAAAAAGAAACCATAACAAACCACAACTGATAACAACTGATTCCAGTAAAATAAAGCATGAAATATTTATACCCGTTACTCGTAGAGTAAAAGGGTATATTGTATTCGTGCAAAAGTATGTAACAGCTAGAAGGAAGCGTTTCCGACCCTATAAAGTATATATATTCTTGATCAGGGTCACTAGCCGAGTCGATATAGCCATGTCCGTCTGTCCGTCTGTCTGTCCGTATGAACGCTGAGATCTCGGAAACTATAAAAGCTAGAAGATTGGCATTTTGCAAGCAGATTCTAGGAGTTCCTACGCAGCGCAAGTTTGTTTCAAAATGGTGCCACGCCCCCTTTAACGCCCACAATCGCTTATATACGATTTTAAAAATTTAAATATTTCGGAAAAGTAAAAATGCAGTTTTATTGTGTTTATCAATACCTATCGAAATGTAGAAGAAATTTTTCAAATCGGACCATTCGTTAAAAAGTTATGCGTGATCAAAGTTTCTATCTCCATCTCCCTCGCACTCCCTTTAGCTGAGTAACGGGTATCTGATAGTCGGGGCACCCGACTATAGCGTTCTCTCTTGTTTTATTTTATTTTGCTGGAATCACTTGTTACCAGCCCAATTTGATTGTAGTTTGACATAACAGAGATTACATTTATAGAATATTTGGGCAGAATAAGTTTTGTTTGGCCAACATGCGGTTTAATTGTACATAGATATGTCCAATTAATATAAAGTTAAGAAATCTTTTGGACATGGGGCTGTTGTACCTCTACAATCATTCTTAATTCTAAAATATATTCAAATCTTAAAATAAAATTGTTATGATTGTAGAGGTACCTGATTTTGCCGACGATACTACCTTATGTTATTGTATCATGTTCTGGGGCCGGTCGCTTACAAATTTGTGCGTCCATTTTCGTTGTATAAAATAATAATGTCGTTGATGTATGGTTAGTGGTTTAACCAAGAAGATTCTGTAAAGGGAAAAAACTCTCCTTACTAGTATCCATACAATAAAGTCAAATCAACATCGAAGAGCTTCGTTGAAAATACTCATGTTAGTACTACGTTTTGTTTTATGTGTATTAGCTCAAATGTATTATTATAATATGAAATTGTAATTTTATTTAAAAATGCTTTGAATTCATTAAATGTATTCAGATAAGAGTAGCCTAATTTGCTATATATTTTTCATTTTTTCTAGGTGAAAGTGAAAAAATTGTGCTTCAATAATTTATCGACTATCCCAAGAAATGGACGAGAACGACCAATTTATTCTCGACAGCGACTGCCTTCTGGAGATATTAAAATATGTGATTGCTGATTGCAACACGAATGACCTATGTGATGAAATGTTAAAGTATAATGATTTAATCAACTTTGTACTGGCCCATGAGTTTTTCCTGGAGTTGCTTGAGACTCATCACAAACGTCTGTTTGAAGTTCTTAAGTTGCCTCTTGTATGCAGGATTACAAAGCTACTAATCGATCAACGAGCGAAAAAGTTTTTTTTCTGGAAAGAACTTCTAAAATCATACAACCAAAAAAGTCCTTTCTATGTTGAATTGTCTTTTGGTGATGATTACTTAACGATTGACATAAAAGGTAAGTGAGAAGTTTTAATATACTTTTTGTAACTTTATTAAACTTACATCATTTAAATTTATTTAATTAACTTTTTAAGGCTTCTGGAGATACAAAACAGAACAAATTGATAAAATGGTTAAAATTTCTGCTGAAACGATAGTTAACTTCTGCATCTGGAACCCGGATTTGAGAGTTTTGTCCCTTAAGGGCACTGAAATCCATGAAAGTATTTCCGATATCGCTCCCCATTGCGGAAACCTTGAAAAGCTGAGAATTATGATAAATCCGAGAAGCGATGCTGCTCAATTTGCATCGTTTGCCAAGTTACCTAACTTGAAAACTTTTATCATTACTGGAATTGAACAAAGCGGTTCATCATTGCCATTCTTTAATGATTTAAGAAAATGGCGCAGACCAAAAAGCCTTCAACCTTTGACACTGACCATCGAATATTGTAAATGCGATAAAAGTGCAGCGATAGAGATAGTTGACGCACTGCGATGTTTTCGCATGTACAAGCCTTTTGACAATTTTGGATATGCTAATAAGACTTTTGTGAGATGCGAATACGATTTACATAAAATTCCGGAAGACAAGAATTTAATGGAGGATTCCCCTGAAACCTTTCCTCTATATGATGGTGTCCTAATGGAGTTTGACAGCAATAAAGGAAAACTTGTGCTTGAAATACATGAAGATTCGAGCTTAAGTCAGATGGAATGCTTTTCAAAGCTACCCAATCTAAGTCACTTGGTCATAAAAAACACACCAAATTATGTAAAAAAACGTAATTCACTTGTGAAATTATTTCAATTAATGGTCCCAAAAGGGCCATTCGCCTTGCAATCTTGCAGAATTAAAGAGCTAACAATAGATCGATTAGAGGCCATTGAACTTGCGAAAGTAGAATCAATTCGATTTCTAGACTGTCATTTATCTGAATGGGAATCGATTAGGTATTTGGGTCAACTAACTAACTTGCAACACGCACTAATTCATGTCTGCGAACCCATTTCGTCGGAGCTAGACTTTAATTTGATATCTGCACGTCGGATACAAGCTATGATAGCTTGCAAAGATTTTAAAATAAAGATGAGTGAGGGAATGGCCCAGATTGATTGGAAAAGTTGTCGTTTTGATGATGCTTTGTCATACCTTGACCAACCTAAGAACGTAACCACTCTCGAAATCTTAGGGTCCCCAATTACTAAATCACTAAATAAACTCTTCGAAGCATTCGCCACCAGTAATGTAAGTTCAGTCGAAGAACTGTGTTTTTGGAGTTTGACAGAAATTCAAACCATTAGGAAGCTGACATGCTCCTCATCAGTTTTAACTGGAATTAAAAAATTGGCTGAGTTGAATAATCTTGAGGACTTGTATATAAAAGGAAAAGGAAACCTAGCCGCACTTTTCACTAAATTGGCTGAAAAAAATATAATTAAAGGTATTCGACTTTCCGAAATAATTCGTCCCAAAGAGGTATTAATGGTTTCCGAAATAAGGTCGCTGAAAAAACTGCACTGCGGTTTTTCTAACACGCAGGACTTACAATCCTTGTCGGCGCTAGCTAAGTCGAATATTGAAGAATTGATTGTAAATGCAGACAATTCCCTACAGAATTTATTTGCAGCGTTTTCTTCAAGTAGTACCACTAGGCTGCAGCACCTAGAAATTGTTGGCAAACCTCTTGACCAAACAGAAATGTCTGAAATTTCAAAAATAAATGGTTTAACAAAATTAAGTGCTGCATTCTTTGATTCAGAATGTGCGGAGATGTTAGTTCGATTACCGAATCTGGAGCACTTAGAAATTAAAAAGTTTATGGGAGATCAAACAAGCCCATTGGAAAATCCTTTGAGAGAATTGGTTCACAAGTCACCGATTACTCTTAGAAAATTAGATTTGAAAGTCTGGATTGGATTCAATGAATGTAAATCCTTGACTCAACTTGAAACATTGGAGTCTTTAAGTTGCCGATTGCGCAATAATCCGGGCATTGAAATTTTGGCGAACATAAAAAAACTAAAAGAGTTAATCATCTATAAGGCAGAGGGCTCTCTCATTGAACTTTTCCGGGCTTTTGCATTGAAAAGTGAGTCAACTTTACAAGAACTTCATACACCAATTATATGTTCTGATGAGATACGTGAAATATCGCAAATTGAATCGCTTTTAAAGTTAAACATTTATAATAAAAGAGAAAATAAGTTCCACTTCCTAAATCCTTCAAATGACCATAATTCACTAACCATAGATAGCAATATCTTATTGCCGATTTTTCAATCTTGTAAAAAACTCGATTGGGTCACATTCGATTTTGGATTCGGTGCGGCATTGGATTCCAACTTTGTAAGCGAAGTAAACAAAATTTTGAAATCCATAAGGAATTCTTCACTTCAAAAACCGCTGAAACTGGCTTTACTTGGAAAATCCACATGTTCAAAATTACATGTAAGTATATTTAATAAGTGACACAACCTATCAGTTAATAATAAAGTTGTTTTACAGTTTGAAGACATAGATGAAGCGTTCTTGACAGTCTTCTGTTACACATATAAATCGGATCTATATACGGCTGCAGGACTTTTATTTGATTATTCCGAATCAGATTCCGACGACTCAGACTTCGACGACCCAAATGAATATTAAATCTTAATAAACATTAATCATTAACGAAATTATCTTCTTTGTCTGCCTGCTTCGAATACTGTGCAGCTAATTCAGTTTATGTCCTCGTTCGCCCCACCAAATTTATATTAAAACGTGATCTGCCACTAGTTACTATGATGCCTCGAAGTCTTTGGATTCCTGCGGATTTCAAGTGATGTCCCTGCTCCGCAAAAAACAGACACAGTCAGGTATCTGAATCTCGGAGATTATGCCTTCAACTTATTTTCTGGCTGAGCATGACGAGTGCTCAACTCCCATAAATATTAATATATATATAATAATCATTGATTTAGCTGTTACTCTTGGATATGATGGGTACGTTGTATTTGTTTAAAAGTATGAAAAAAGCGTTTCCCTGCCTATTAAGTTTATATATTCTCGATCAGGGTCAAAAGCCAGTCGATCTAGCCATGTCCGTTCGTCTGTCCGTATGAACGTCGTGAACCGGTCACCATAAGTGCTAGAAATTTGGAAAAGTAATAACGGTTACTATGAAGGATATTCTTATAAAATTGTACAAATTTAACTAATCAAAATCATTTTAACAATATTTAAATTATTTCGGTAAAAAAAAAAAAAACATTATCTTTCGTAAATTGAATAGGATTCGAAAATTGGTCCCATTTAAATATTGCTTCCTCACTTTAATTGAACTATTGAATGGCTAGCCGCAAAACCAGTTCCGTTTTGTTTCCCAAGCGACTGCTTTATTTGTTTCAGCTTCTCAAAAACGAATAATTGGAGAAAATCAAGCTTATCGTAGTGCGTACAAATGTTCAGGGCGACGCAGTACAAAAGTTCATACATACATACTTATGATTTGTGTTCACATATGCTGATTGTAAGCTGCTTGCCCGATCCCGATTCATAAGACAAACAATATTTTAAATTCTTTTCAATAAAAGGAAAAACTTTTAGTCATTCTAAACATTATTTCTCATGTCTGTTTATAACATAAGTAATAACAAAAAATAAGCAAACTTCGGCAAGCCGAAGTTTATATACCGCAGCTTATATACTTGCAGTTATTACAAAACAATGAGCTCAAAGAAGTTTGGTCGACTAAAATCGAATTTTTGAAATTTTAGTAACACATTTTTGCACCCTTTTTTTTTGCCCACCTTTTTTTTGAAAATATGGAATCTTCAAAACTTTTTCGAAAACATTAAAGTTGACTTTTTCAAATTTTTTTTGAATATATTTGCCTGCAGATAATATCGTTTGCCCACCCTTTAAAATTCGTTATTTTGAAAAAATAAAAGATGCCCACTTTTGCTCAACCAAGCGCGCAGAATCTATAAAATTCGTGCCTATTAAATATTTTTATTTTATTTTACTGGAATCACTTGCTATCAGGCCAATTTGATTGTAGTTTGACATACAAATTAACCATATGGTTTCTTTTCGCTTTCATAAAAAATTAGAATATTTGGGCAGAATAAGTTTTGTTTGGCCAACATCTGGTTTATTTGTATGTCAAATTAAAATCATGTTAAGAAATCTATACGCACATGACGCGATTTTTATAAAAGCGAAAAAGAAACCATAACAAACCACAACTGATAACAACTGATTCCAGTAAAATAAAGCATGAAATATTTTTATTTTATTTTACTGGAATCACTTGTTACCAGCCCAATTTGATTGTAGTTTGACATAAGAGGGATTACATTTATAGAATATTTGGGCAGAATAAGTTTTGTTTGGCCAACATGCGGTCCAATTGTACCACTACAATCATTCTTAATTCTAAAATATATTCAAATCTTAAAATAAAATTGTTATGATTGTAGGGGTACCTGATTTTGCCGACGATACTACCTTATGTTATTGTATCATGTTCTGGGGCCGGTCGCTTACAAATTTGTGCGTCCATTTTCGTTGTATGAAATAATAATGTCGTTGATGTATGGTTAGTGGTTTAACCAAGAAGATTCTGTAAAGGGAAAAAACTCTCCCTGCTTTGTTCTCTCTCTCTCTCTCTCTGCCTACGAGCCTGTTTCCTAATATTTTTTATGCAAATGCGTACCCTGATTACTCGCTTGCGGACGACGAGAGCGTGCGGTTGTGTTAAATAACATATTGTAATCAACAACTGAAGTGATTTTAGTACTATGCCGCGCCGCACTCTCAAATTATCGAATACAATTAATAAAGACACAACACGACATTTATTTGTGTTTTAATTCAAAGTTCTTAACCCAAAGGGTGGATAATTTATTCGACTCAAACTCAATAATTTCACTATATATATTACATATATATATTAAATAATTTCCACACACAGTTCGTTCAGCTCGCTTCTAGTATCCATACAATAAAGTCAAATCAACATCGAAGAGCTTCGTTGGAAATACTCATGTTAGTACTATGATTTGCTTTATGTGTATTAGCTCAAATGTATTATTGTAATATGAAATTGTAATTTTATTTAAAAATGCTTTGAATTCATTAAATGTATTCAGATAAGTGTAGCCTAATTTGCTATATATTTTTCAGTTTTTCTAGGTGAAAGTATAATTTACCGACTATCCCAAGAAATGGACGAGAACGACCAATTTATTCTCGACAGCGACTGCCTTCTGGAGATATTAAAATATGTGATTGCTGATTGCAACACGAATGACCTACAGTGACAAACTTAATTATTGACACAGCAAGCATGTTAAACTTTGAGGCTATTTTTCTTCTTATAATATGCTGATATTAAAATAAAAGAAAATATTTTTAGATAGAATCATTAATTTTATGTTAAATACAAGTGACTTCATTAATTTATCTTTTATAAATAATTTATTAAAAATAAATAACCAAAGAATGGACCAAATTTGCCTGAACAAAATTATTGGCACACTTGGGTTTTAATTAACTATTTTGTTAAAATTTTATCGATTTGGCCACTTTTTTTTTTAATTATCACATTTGCCTCTATAATCTTAATGGTATAATGATTAATTTTATTGCTAAAATTGTTTTAGTGCCTTAAAATAAAGGAAAAGTTGTTTGACTTTACAAGGTAAAAATAAAATCAACCGCATGTGTCCAAAAATTAAAATTTAATAAGCAGGATCAATGCAAATCGAAAGTCAACATTGGGGAAAGGATGCCCAGAAGCCATTTTTCCCATTCGGAGTCCTTTGCTACATTTTAAAGGACCCACGCAGTTGCAAAATGCAGGGCACACTGGCTAATCCATGGCTTTGAGAGGCCAGGAAAGCGTAAGGATCGTATAAAAGGACAATGTCAACCCCCAGATCTCCTCAACACGTATCGAAGTTGATGATAAGAAGGACTTTGGTAAGGATATTCACCCAACAGCCTTTTTTTAGGCCCTGCATGATGGTTTCTATAAACGAATTGAACATAGAAAAAATCTATAGATTTTAAAAGTCAAAAACAACCTTTTAGTGCAGCGAAATTTATATCTGAGTATGCCAATTGGCTTTTGGGTCCTTTCAACCTTCTCGTATGATTTAATTATCCTTTCCCCAAGCAAAGAGCTTATGTTAGAACCCTTTTCAAGCCGATGGATTTTTTCTAGGAGCAATTCGTTTGTAGAAACCATCATGCAGGGCCTAAAAAAAGGCTGTTGGGTGAATATCCTTACAAAATTCCTTCTTATCATCAACTTCGATACGTGTTGAGAAGATCTGGGGGTTGACATTGTCCTTTTATACGATCCTTACGCTTTCCTGGCCTCTCAAAGCCATGGATTAGCCAGTGTGCCCTGCATTTTGCAACTGCGTGGGTCCTTTAAAATGTAGCAAAGGACTCCGAATGGGAAAAATGGCTTCTGGGCATCCTTTCCCCAATGTTGACTTTCGATTTGCATTGATCCTGCTTATTAAATTTTAATTTTTGGACACATGCGGTTGATTTTATTTTTACCTTGTAAAGTCAAACAACTTTTCCTTTATTTTAAGGCACTAAAACAATTTTAGCAATAAAATTAATCATTATACCATTAAGATTATAGAGGCAAATGTGATAATTAAAAAAAAAAGTGGCCAAATCGATAAAATTTTAACAAAATAGTTAATTAAAACCCAAGTGTGCCAATAATTTTGTTCAGGCAAATTTGGTCCATTCTTTGGTTATTTATTTTTAATAAATTATTTATAAAAGATAAATTAATGAAGTCACTTGTATTTAACATAAAATTAATGATTCTATCTAAAAATATTTTCTTTTATTTTAATATCAGCATATTATAAGAAGAAAAATAGCCTCAAAGTTTAACATGCTTGCTGTGCCAATAATTAAGTTTGTCACTGTATGTGATGAAATGTTAAAGTATAATGATTTAATCAACTTTGTACTGGCCCATGAGTTTTTCCTGGAGTTGCTTGAGACTCATCACAAACGTCTGTTTGAAGTTCTTAAGTTGCCTCTTGTGTGCAGGATTACAAAGCTACTAATCGATCAACGAGCGAAAAAGCTATTTTTCTGGAAAGAACTTCTAAAATCATACAACCAAAAAAGGCCTTACTATGTTGAATTGTCTTTTGGTTATGATTACGTGGCGATTGACATAAAAGGTAAGTGAGAAATTTTAATATACTTTTTGTAACTTTATAAACTTACATCAGAGCTAAAAATATCTTTCGTTTTATAGAAACAAATAACCTGTATAAAAAGTGCACTGAACGATTTAAAACAATGGGAAATATTACTGCTGAGGCGATAGTTAACTTATGCATCTGGAACCCGAATTTGAGAGTTTTGTCCCTTAAGGGCACTGAAATCCATGGAAGTATTTCCGATATCGCTCCACATTGCGGAAACCTTGAAAAATTGAGAATTATGATAAATCCGAGAAGCAGTGCTGCTCAATTTGCATTGTTTGCTAAGTTACCTAACTTGAAAACTTTTATCATTACTGGAATTCAACAAAGCGGTTCATCATTGCTTTTCTTTAATGATTTAAGAAAATGGTGCAGACCAAAAAGCCTTCAACCTTTGACACTGGCCATCGAATATTGTAAATGCGATAAAAGGCAATCTACCGCGATAGAGATATTTGACGCACTGCGATGTTTTCGCATGTACAAACTTTATGAGCATTTAGGATATAATTTTGCGAGATGCGAATACGATTTACATAAAATTCCGGAAGCCAAGAATTTAGTGCAGGAATCCCCTGAAACCTTTCCTCTATATGATGGTGTCCAAATGGAGTTTGAAAGGTATGAAGGAGAACTTGTGCTTAATATAGATAAAGATTCGGGCTTAAGTCAGATGGGATGCTTTTCAAAGCTACCCAATCTAAGTCACTTGGTCATAAAAAACACACCAACTTATGTAAAAGAACGTAATTCACTTGCGAAATTATTTCAATTAATGGTCCCAAAAGGGACATTCGCCTTGAAATCTTGCATAATTCAGCTTACAATAGATCGATTAGAGTCAATTGAACTAGCGAAAGTAGAATCAATTCGATTTCTGGAGTGCCATTTATCTGAGTGGGAATCGATTAAGTATTTATGTAAACTAACTAACTTGCAACACGTACTAATTAATGTCTGCGAGCCCATTAATTCCAATACTTCGGAGCTAGTCTTTAATCTGCTATCTGCATGTCGGATAAAAGCTGAGATAGCTTGCAAAGATTTTAAATTAAAGATGAAAGGGAGAACGGTGTATATTAGTATGAAAAGACGGTGTAATGTTGATCCTTTTTCATCCTTTGCCCAACCTATGAACATTAGCACTCTCTCAGTGCCCACAAATACATATACACTAAATCAACTCTTCGAAGCATTCGCCACCAGTAATGTAAATTCAATCGAAGAACTGTTTTATGAGAGTTCGGAAAATATTCGATTTGAAGACATCTCAAAATTGACAGAAATTCAAACCATTAGGAAACTGACATGCCCCGCATTAATTTTAACTGGAATTGAAAAATTGGCTGAGTTGAATAATCTTGAAGACTTGTATATAACCGGAAAAGGAAACCTAGCCGCACTTTTCACAAAATTGGCTGAAAAAAATAAAATTAAAAGTATTAGACTTGACAAACAACTTGTTCCCGAAGAAGTATTAAGGGTTTCCGAAATAAAGTCGCTGAAAAAACTGCACTGCAGTTTTTTTAACACGCAGGACTTACAATCCTTGTCGGCGCTAGCTAAGTCGAGTATTGAAGAATTGATTGTAGATCCAAGCGATTCCCTGCAGAATTTATTTGCAGCGTTTTCTTCAAATAGTACTACCAGGCTGCAGCACCTGAAAATTAATTACAAAAATCTTACGATAACAGAAATGTCTGAAATTTCTAAAATAACAAATCTAAAAAAATTAAGTGCACGATTCTTTAATGCAGAATGTACGCAGATGTTAGTTCGATTAGCAAATCTGGAGCACTTAGTAATTAAAAACGTTTTGGGATATGAAATAAGCCCATTGGAACATCTTTTGTGGGATTCGGTTCACAAGTCACCGATTACTCTTAGAAAATTAGACTTAAAAGTCTGGATTGGATTCAACGAATGTAACTCCTTGACTCAACTTGAAACTTTGGAGTCTTTAAGTTGCAAATTAAACAAAGAACCGGGTATAGAAATTTTGGCGAACATAAATAAACTAAAAGAGCTAATCATCTATAAGGCAGAGGGCTCTCTCATTGAACTTTTCCGGGCTTTTGCATTGAAAAGTGAGTCAACTTTACAAGAACTTCAGACACCAATTATATGTTCTGATGAGATACGTGAAATATCGCATATTGAATCGCTTTTAAAGTTAATCATTTATAATAAAAGAGAAAATAAGTTCATCTGCCTAAATCCTTCAAATGGCCATAATTCACTAACCATAGATAGCAATATATTCTTGCCGATTTTTCAATCTTGTCAAAAACTCGATTGCGTCACAGTCGATTTTGAATTCGGCGTGGCAATGGCTTTCAACTTTGTAAGCGAAGTAAACACAATTTTGAAATCCATAAGGGATCCTTTACTTCAAAAACCGCTGAAACTGGCTTTACGTGGAAAATCCACATTACATTCAAAATTACATGTAAGTAAATAAATAAGTGACACAACCTATCAGTTAATAATAATGTTGTTTTAACAGTTAGAAGACATAGATGAAGCATTCTTGACAGTCTTCTGTTACACATATAAATCAGATCTATATACGACTGCAGGACTTTTATTTGATTATTCCGAATCAGATTCCGACGACTCAGACGTCTCCGACCAAGATGAATATGAAAACTTAATAAACAATTTCAATCTCCTTTCTGGCTGAGCAGAAATATGTATTATAAATATAAATATGACTGACTTTAATATAAAAATGTATTAAGTCATTGATTTAGCTGTTACTCTTGGTTATGATGGGTACGTTGTATTTGTTTAAAAGTATTAAAAAAGCGTTTCCCAGCCTATAAAGTATATATATTCTTAATCAGGGTCAAAAGTCGAGTGGATCAGCCATGTCCGTTTGTCTGTCCGTATGAACGTCGTGATACCGGTCACCATACGTGCTACAAATTTGGAAAAGTTATAACGGTTACCATGACGTATATTCCCATATAATATTTTAGTACGAACGTCTTATCAAATTTTACAAATTCAACTAATCAAAGCCATTTCCAAAAAATGTAAATTATTTTGGTAAAAAAAACAAACGAAAACATTAACTTTCCTAAACGATGATATTGAACAGGATTCGAAAATTGGTCCCATTTAAATATTGCTTCCTCACTTTAATTGAACTATTGAATGGCTAGTTTTGTTTCCCAAGCGACTCCTTACATACATATTTACATATATGTACATAAGCACTTCGCTTTTCATTCAGAAAAGAATTGCCAAGATCGATTTAAACTGGAAATCGGGGGTAGAGGAGAAAATGTGTAATATTATTATTATATAAATTTTGGCGAGCCGATGTTTATATACCCTTGCAGTTATTACAAAACAATGAGCTCAAAGAAGTTTGGTCGACTAAAATCGAATTTATAAAATTTGAATACCCTAATCATTGGCCCATTTATTTTTTGTTGCCCACCTTTAGTATGAAAGTATTGAATCTTCGAAAATTGTCGAACTTTTTCGAAAACATTAAAGTTTACTTTTTCCAATTTTTTTGAACATATTTGCCTGCAGAAAAAAATCGTTTGCCCGCTCCCAAATTTATGCAAACAAAGGGCAAAACAAGTAAGATTTTTGTCACAAGAATTTAGTCTTAAGCCAATTTTCAAATAATAAAGACACAGCACCGCATTTAATTGTGTTTTTATTCAAAGTTCGGCGTTGAGTTCCACCCAAAGGTTGGATCATTTATATATATATATATATTACATAATTTCCATACACACTAAACTTAGTTTTTATAAATTAGTCATTCGGAAGTTGTGCTGCAATTGCCTAGTTCTGTGTTCCTTTGAACATTGTCATTCACACTCCACACAATAAAGTCAAATCAACATCGAAGAGCTTCGTTGGAAATACTCATGTTAGTACTATGTTTTGTTTTATGTGTATTAGCTCAAATGTATTATTGTAATATAAAATTGTAATTTTATTTAAAAATGGTTTGAATTCATTAAATGTATTCAGATAAGTGTAGCCTAATTTGCTATATATTTTTAATTTTTTCTAGGTGAAAGTGAACATCTACTGTTCTGAAAAATTGTGCTTCGAAAATTTACCCAACTATCCCAGGAAATGGACGAGAACGACAAATTTATTTTCGACGGCGATTGCCTTCTGAAGATATTAAAATATGTGATTGCTGATTGCAACACGAATGACCTATGTGATGAAATGTTAAAGTATAATGATTTAATCAACTTTGTACTGGCCCATGAGTTTTTCCTGGAGTTGCTTGAGACTCATCACAAACGTCTGTTTGAAGTTCTTAAGTTGCCTCTTGTGTGCAGGGTTACAAAGCTACTAATCGATGAAAGAGCGAAAAAGCTATTTTTCTGGAAAGAACTTATAAAATCATACAACCAAAAAAGTCCTTTCTATGTTAATTTGTCTTTTGGTGATGATTACTTAACGATTGACATAAAAGGTAAGTGAGAATTTTTAATATACTTTTTGTAACTTTATTAAACTTACATCATTTAAATTTATTTAATTAACTTTTTAAGGCATCTGGGAGGACAACAAAGAACAAATTGATATAAGGGGTAAAATTTCTGCTGAAACGATAGTTAACTTCTGCATCTGGAACCCGAATTTGAGAGTTTTGTCCCTTAAGGGCACTAAAATCCATGGAAGTATTTCCGATATCGCTCCCCATTGCGGAAACCTTGAGGAGCTAAACATTACGCTAAATCCGAGAAGCGGTGCTGCTCAATTTGCATCGTTTGCCAAGTTACCTAACTTGAAAACTTTTATCATTACTGGAATTCAACAAAGCGGTTCATCATTGCCTTTCTTTAATGATTTAAGAAAATGGCGCAGACCAAAAAGCCTTCAACCTTTGACACTGACCATCGAATATTGTAAATGCGATAAAAGTGCAGCGATAGAGATAGTTGACGCACTGCGATGTTTTCGCATGTACAAGCCTTTTGACAATTTTGGATATGCTAATAAGACTTTTGTGAGATGCGAATACGATTTACATAAAATTCCGGAAGACAAGAATTTAATGGAGAATTCCCCTGAAACCTTTCCTCTACATGATGGTGTCCTAATGGAGTTTGACAGCAATAAAGGAGAACTTGTGCTTGAAATACATGAAGATTCGAGCTTAAGTCAGATGGAATGCTTTTCAAAGCTACCCAATCTAAGTCACTTGGTCATAAAAAACACACCAACTTATGTAAAAGAACGTAATTCACTTGCGAAATTATTTCAATTAATGGTCCCAAAAGGGACATTCGCCTTGAAATCTTGCATAATTCAGCTTACAATAGATCGATTAGAGTCAATTGAACTAGCGAAAGTAGAATCAATTCGATTTCTGGAGTGCCATTTATCTGAGTGGGAATCGATTAAGTATTTATGTAAACTAACTAACTTGCAACACGCACTAATTCATGTCTGCGAGCCCATTAATTCCAATACTTCGGAGCTAGTCTTTAATCTGCTATCTGCATGTCGGATACAAACTACGATAGCTTGCAAAGATTTTAAAATAAGGATGAGTGAGAGAAAGGTGCAGATTGATATGGAAAGTAAGTGTAATGCTGATGCTCTGTCATCCCTTGCCCTACTTAAAAACGTTAGCACTCTCCACATCACAGTGTCCACAATTACTGATTCACTAAATCAACTCTTCGAAGCATTCGCCACCAGTAATGTAAGTTCAATCGAACTGTCTTTTACGAGTTTGGAAAATATACGACTTGAAGGCATCTCAAAATTGAAACAAATGCAAACCATTAGAAAACTGACATGCACCGCATTTGATTTAACTGGAATTGAAAAATTTGCTGAGTTGAACAATCTTGAGGACTTGTGTATAAACGGAGGAGGAAGAAGCCTAGTCGCACTTTTCACAAAATTGGCTGAAAAAAATAAAATTAAATGTTTTCGACATTCCGAAGTATTTGGTCCCGAAGAGGTTTTAAGGGTTTCTGAAATAAAGTCGCTGAAAACATTGCAGAGCGGTTTTTCTAGGTCCTGCGACTTACAACCCTTGTCGGCGCTAGCTAAGTCGAATATTGAAGAATTGGTTGTAAATCGAATCCGTCCCGTACAGAATTTATTTAAATATGTAAATCCTTGACTCAAATTGAAACATTGGAGTCTTTAAGTTGCAAATTAAAGAAATTTCCGGGCATAGAAATTTTGGCGAACATAAAAAAACTAAAAAATTTAATCATCTTTAAGGCAAAGGGCTCTCTCAGTGAACTTTTCCGGGCTTTTGCACTGAAAAGTGAGTCAACTTTACAAGAACTTCATACAGTAATTAGATGTTCTGATGAGATACGTGAAATATCGCAAATTAAATCGCTTATAAATCTAAACATTGAGAGAGCATTTAACAACCTACACTTAGATATCAATATCTTATTGCCGATTTTTCAGTCTTGTCAAATGCTCGATTTCGTCAAAATTGATTTGGAATTAGGGGTGGCAATGGCTCCTATCTTTTTGAGCGAAGTTAACACAATTTTGAAATCTATAAGGAATCCTTCACTCCAAAAACCGCTGAAACTGGCTTTACTTGGAAAAACCACTTCTTTAAAATTCCATGTAAGTCTGATATAAGTGACACAACCAATCACTTACATAATTATAATTTTGTTCTTACAGTTTACTTTACAAATTAGATTTGATCGACTCAGACAACTCGGAGTCAGACTCTCTCGACTCATACGACCTCTCTTCAGATTAAAATTAAATCTTAATAAACATTCATTTTTTAATTTGTAACAAACTGGTTTTCGTTTTTCGAAAAAGCGTTTCCCAGCTTATTTTTAGAAAATCAAGCTTATCGTAGAGCGTACAAATGTTCAAAACAACCAAATAAAAAAGTTTATACATATGTACGAATATAAAAAAAAATGGTGAAAAATATTTTGGTCCACATACATGCTTATTGTATGCAGCTTACCCGATCCCCTATCTCCTTTTCTTTTTAAAAAACTCAAAATTGAGTTATATATATATATAGTAATTTTACTCTTATTTTACTCTAATTCTACAGTTGAACTTTTAAAGCTTAAACTCTTAATCAGATATAGTCAATACCTATAAAGTCGAAATACTCTTAAATATTATATTGAAATTGTTATAATATTGTGAAAAATTAGTCATACGGAAGTTGTACTGTAACTTCCAAGTTTTGTGGTTTTTTGAATATTGTCGTTTAGTTCGCTTCTAGTATCCATACAATAAAGTCAAATCAATATCGAAGAGCTTCGGTGAAAATACTCATGTACTACAGATAATCCTTTCAAAATATTAACGATGGTCTTTTATGTAATTAATTTTTAATCCCCCAAAAAATTAAAGGAATACCCTGACTGGCAAGCAGTGCAAGCAGTCCTTGGTACTTTTATCGATAGTTTTATCGATGGGCTGAGAGCTCTTACAAACTCACAATCCAGGGTCACACTGATTCATTGTTTTGCTTTTGCTGAGTTTTTAATGTAAAAAATAAAAATAAATATATCTGCAAACATTTTACGCAAAATCAAGAACTCGTTCCGCCAGCGCAAGAAGAAGAACCGCCCGAGGCAGGCCACGCCTCCACTGCCAGCTGCCCCCTTACCAGGAAGTACCGCTTGCTCCTCAAATTTTGTCCCGCGGAGCACCCACTTTCCGCGGGAGGAGCACCTGACTTCCAAGGATACCGCCGTCACAATGGAGAGCAACCTGAACAGGATCATTCGGGAATCGGCCAAGCTGAAACTCAGTGGCCAGCTCAGCAAATACACTAATGTGATGAAGGGTAAGTTGAGTTTCACAAAATCTATCGGAATTTGTGTTAAATAACACTTTTTAATAATCTTTATTTATCTTGCCCATCAGTTTTGCTTAAATATGACTAACCTCTACACATTACTGGCTTCAAACAATTAAAAATGCAATATATTACCACAAATATTTATTTTAAAAAAATGGAACTTCGGATTTCTTCGACCTAAAAGAGAAAAAGTCTCAAAAAATAACATTTTACTTATTAATCATAGCTTTATTTGGAGCTCTTTAAATTAACTAAGTATCTGGTATTTCGCGACTTATTTAGCTTAAATACATTAATATTTGTGAAGGTAGTAAAAAAAACCTTTTTCGTTTTCAACCTTTAGATTTACCAATAATAATGTACTTTATAACCCCTCAGAATCTAATCGCTAATTTAGGGTCTCCAATTTTTTCTAGGATGGCAGTACCGTTGGTTCACGGTGGATGCAAAAACAGGATCGCTGAGTTACTATTTGTGCGACTCTTCGACGGTGGGCGATGACATCGCTCCTTCGCCCCACGTCCTAGCCAGCGCTCCAAGAGGCCAGGTGCAGCTGGCTGGCGCTGTGGTTTACCCAAGTGACGAGGACTCCAGGACCTTCGCCATCGCCTGTGCCTCGGGCGATACGGTGAAACTGCGGGCCAACGATGCCAGAGCCAGGCAGGAGTGGGTCTCCGGCCTGCGGGCAGTCGTGGAGAGCCACATGAAGGCCATGGACATCAGCAACTCCTCACCGCTGCCCCCGCGGGAACTGCTAGCCGCCTCCGATGCCATGGTGTCCGCTCGTCAGGCCCTGTTTCTCACGGAACAATGGTATAAGACATTAGTAAATAGCTTATTTTTGAGGGGAAAATAGTTGGAAGTCGATCAATTTATGGCTAAATTTGTATATCAAGTGACTGATTTTAACTGGATTAAGAAGGCTAAAGTAATGTAATTGATATTCCCACTAAACCATTTGAATTGTTGAAGTCAGTCAGAAGAATTGCCCTTTAATTTGTATTTCATTTATTTAATATATTTCTTTGCAGCAACGCTTCTCTGGCCAGAGCTATCGAGAGCATTGACTGTGCTTCCTTCTCGCCCACGGATCCCGATCTTCTCCTGCTCAAGGCAATATCGACGGCCAGCACCCAGTGCCTGCACCAGTGCCTCGGGCTGCTCCAGCGCCACCAGGAGATCAATCAGCCACCGGCCGAGGCCGTTCCTCTTGTGCTCTGAGCTCCAAAGATATTTTCCAGTATCCACTATGATATACCCCAATAAACACTAAGCCAAATCGCATTCAAAGTTGGGCTAATGAATGGGTTGATTGGCAGTAAAAAAAACGCTTTGGGTTGGGTTACTTTTCAATGTTTTTATAAAATACTTTTGTTCGTTTCGATTTTCCATTTTTCGATTTTTTGTTTTCTTGGATTAATTAGAACATTCATTTCGACATTTAAAGTTAATTTGAACATAAAGTTTGCACTAAAGTTGATAGAAAATGTTGAGTTTTGGACTTGGACACTGGTCCAGATCGTACAAAGATACACATATCCAGGAGATGTTTAACTGCTAACTTTTGCCATTGTTTATATTACATCCTATTCCGAAAGTAACTCGTTAAGTTTTCGATACGTGTGGAACATCAAAGTCTATTGGGGGGACTGGGGATTACATAGATACTTATATATCGTGTGTGTATATACGGGCTATGGCTATGGTAGATGTTCTTGCGTATGCAAAAATAGTTGTGTTTATCCATTATCGTAATTAACTCTTGTCCGATTAATCAATTGTGTGCTTGCCAAACGAAACGGTGCCGAAAGTATGCCTAAAGGGGTCAACCAAAATATATATGTCCTCTCGATATTCAATCCGTATAATGTCGCCAGACTTTTCAAATAAACCAACGAATCCTGCTGCGTATCTGCGGACTGATTTTTGGGCCGGGACAGAAGTGGAGCAGAGTCCAAATTAAGGCTAGAAAAGGCACTTTAGAAGGGGACTAGTAAGGGAATTAAAGGAATTTATTCTCAGGGTATACGTTGGGGAGCCAATAATTTCAAATCAGAGGCCACAAGTTCTTCCGGATCGCAGCAGTAGTCGTTATACAAAATTTGGATTCTAAATTTTGTCTAAAAATTTTGCTTGTATAAATACGTTTAAAAAAGTTCTCTTGTGTTTTTCTTGATTCATTCTTTTTACAAATTTTGTTTGCGGTGTGTTCATCGCTGAATTTAATTCCGAAAGGCATTTTTTGTGAATTTCTTTTTTTCGTTAAGCCTAAACATTAAATTTAGTTGATTCCATTTGCGTTCGAAGCCATTACAAGTGCTTCTCATTTTCTTTTATAATTTTGTACATTTTTCTTCTCGTTTTATATAAATTATAGACCTAACAAAATTTGGGCACACAATCACCAAGCTAAATCGCTTAAACTCTTTTGATTTCTTTTACACCTAATTAATATGCTGCTGGAGTTGGTATTGGTTTCGGTTCCGGTTTGAATTGAAATTTCATTATCTGTTTCGGATGGTTTTTGGAATGTTCCTGGTTTTCTCTTTCCACCTCTGCTGTAACTTACAACTAAAGAGATCGATCGCTATTTATTTAGTTAGACTGCTGGACTATAACATAATAATACTTTCAAATTTTGATTCAATAAGTACGCTAGGAATATAAATTAGGTGACGAAGATCGCGTGGAACCTAATGGAAAACTGGCAAATATATACGTATACCTTGGACTAGTCAAATTAAACGTACATTTTAAAATATTTTAAGAAAAGTATCTTTAAAGCTTAGGTTTAAATTCGTTTGAATATCATGTATAGGAAATTTTGAATGTTAAATACCGAAGATTAGGAGAAAACTTGAAAATTTATTTATCGTTTACATCTAGTTTATTTACATATTCGAAATGCGAATATAATCAAAGCCACGATTTTTCATGGAATTAAACAAACACTTCTATATATTATGTATAATAGGATTTGATCTCGTTAAATGGAATAATTTTATTTACTAAAAAAATCCTGCATTTCATATTAATTCAAATATGAACTGGTTGCTTACATAGATTGTTTTTTGTGCAAAATGAAGTTCAACTTAAAATAATTTTGAGCAAAAGTTGTTCTCTATTTTAAAACAATATTTAATGTAAATGTAGTTAACTAACCAAGGTATAGGTGTACATATGTGAAGTAAAGCAGCTGGAGCTTAAGTTTTCAGTTCACTCATTTTCATTTTATAACTTTCCCTTATAATTTTCCTCATTTCGTGCCCATTTTACTCGCTGGTGGTGGTTATGGGTTCCACCTTGATGCCACCGCTGCTCGAGGAACTGGGCGCATCTGTTCCCGCTGCTGCCGACGCCCCTCCCCCCGATCTCTCCGGCGGAGCTGTTGCCGCGGCCGCTGAAGACGAGGAAGATGAGACACTGGCGCCCACCAGTTCAGCCAGATCCTCGGCGAAGAGGCGACTGGGCGAGAATTCCCGCTTGTAGCCGGCCATGTCCAGGCCAAGGTCGCCCAGTGGCGAGTGGAGCCGCGGAGTTTCGCTGCGCAGCGGACTGCCTTTGGCCTTGGGCGCATGCTGGCCCATCGAGGTGGAGGCGGAGGAACTGGAACTGGCGCCGAAACCGGACTTGTGGGGCAGGCCACCGCCCACCTGATGGTGGTGCTGCTGCTGCTGTTGATGATGATGGTGGGGGCATGGCCAAGGACCAAAAGGACAGCCACAAGGTCTTCTTTCCTGCAATGATCAGATCGGATGGAGAAGAAGGGGTAGAAGTGTGTTTAATTAACATCAACAAAACAACAATTTTATAAACATTTTTAAAATAACCAAAAAATGTTAACTACTTTACATTTTAATTTCTTTGGTTATATTTTTGTAAACGTCTATGCTCTTACTATAGATATTTTTGCAGCTCTAATCAAAATTATATTATTTCGTTTTTTCCTCAGAGATCCATAATTTGGTTTATTTTAATCTGATTTGGAAACAAAAAATATTATCACGCTTGAGTATAAGATAATGCATTAAAGTCAAGCTATGGGTTGTAAGTTGTGTGTATTAAGTGAAAGCAAATACATTAAGGCAAAAACTTAACTATGATTGAAAAACCAAAAAAAAAAAAATTGTATAAAATCATTTATTACAAAAACCTGTGACTTTCCCCTTGGTTTTCCCCCAGCCCGACTTACCCCGTGCTGATGCTGTTGGTGGTGCAAGGCGATGGCCATGCTGGGCGGCAGATTCGGGACGAGGGGACCGCAGGGCGATGGGGCGTGCCTTGGGCCGGAGCCGCTGCTCAAGGCCGGCGATATGCTGGCCCTGCCTCCGCCCGCTCCCGGCACACCCACGCCACCACCCACTCCGGGGTGGGGGGCAGGTTGAATAGGCCCGGCGGAACGGCCTGATGCTGAGATCCTTGATGCTGCACGGCCGCTGCCATCTGCATCTGCTGCCGGATGTTGTGGGCCACGGCGGCCACCGCAGCGGCAGTTTCCTGCGACATGTGCTGCTCACCGCCCACGCCCACACCCACGCCCACTCCCGCCTGCGGACCGCTGCCATTCGGACAGGCCAATGAGCTGGGCGTGCCTGCCAGGGCGCCACTTGCGCCGGGATAGCTCAGCGGCAGGTCCTGCAAGGGAAACGCGGGCTAACCCGAGAGCAGTTAGTTCAGTTCGAGGATCACAGCCCTATTACAGTACACTTCGCTAAGCTGCCTTGGCATTTAAACACTAATTTATAGTTATCAAGAAACATTACTAGTTATGTCCAATATAATGTAAACATTTTTAGTTACAAGTCAATAAGTCATTAGTTGTAAGAAGACAATTTGAATAGGGCTAACTAATATAAGTTATTAAATTCTTTGACTTCAAATAAGTTTAGAAGTTTATTAAAAAGTTATATAACAAATGAAAATTATCCATAAGCCTATTGCAATATTTAGTTTTTATTCGATTTACAATTCGTATTAATCAGTTGATTTAAAAGTCAAATATATAAAAGGCCATATATTGTATTAAACGTAAATGAAATACAACTTATTTTAAGACCAATATTAACAACGTAAACTAATTTTCGGTTAAGACTTTTAAACTTCACTATTGAATTGAATTTTCTATTTAACAAAAATGTTTGGTTAACCTTTGACTTATACAAATATTTATAAAAAAAAAAAGAAAAGCAATGTTAGATACATAGATTATAAGTTAATTTCAGATTTATTTCTTTAGTTTAAAATGATTTAATTTTAAAAAATGAAAACAAAAATTTCAACACGGTGCCAAAGAATCTCGTTTAATGCCATTAACCATTTACAGCTCAGATAATTATACTGCAGTAATTACCTACCGAATGTCGACCGTAGGGCGGCATATGAGCGGCCAGGCTATCGTCCTTAATGTCCTTGGTGTCGCGGAAAACCACCGTCTTGATGACACCCTTGATGTGCTCGTCGGGCCAGATGCCCAGGAGAATCCTCTGCGGCCTGCCACGCCCCTTGGGCCGCAGATCCGGCCCACCGTCGATGGAGGGACCCAGCATGTTGTGCACCCGGTTCGCATAGAGCACGAATGTGGGATACGGGATGTCATATTTGCGGGCAGCCTGCGACAGCGACAAGCCCTCCTTCAGCACACTGAAAATGGCCTCCGCCATGGTCTCGGGCCGCCAGGACTTCAAAGGACCTCGCTCACGGAAGCGCATGTGGTGCATCAGGTTCTGGTTGGTGTTCCAGCACTTCTGCCACATCGACTGCAGCTGGTACTGGTAGCTGTCTGCTGAAAGATCAAGATGGGAGGGTCCACGATCAGATGGTTTCCAGCACCCTGACTGGGTTTCTTTACAAACCTGCCAGCGTGGAGCCGGTGGCGCCCATCCAAGCATGCGAGTTCTCCATCATCTTGGCCTGCGAATGCGGATAAATAAATGCAGGCATGAGTAATGAGTGAGGAGGAAGTTGCAAGGAGGAGCTTAGCAGGCTGAGTGGTGCTTCAACTAATTGTGTGACTCGCTTTGGTTAGCGCTCGATGTGCCGTCGCCTCTTGTCTCGTCTTGTTTCGAATTCCCGCCCACCTTTTGGCATTTGATTGACATGCAAAATCGACCTATTTTCGTTTAATTTTTATTTTTTGTACTTTGACATCCATGGGTAAAAGGGGTTTTTTGTTTCTGTGACGTTTTTGTAACACAAGCGAATGTGGTGTTGATTGTGGCTACATTAATTATTTATATATCTTATAGAATTATAATATTTTTTATATAGCTTCCCTGAAGAATAAATACTCAGTGAATTTAGATCCCAATATAAAACGTTATTGCGGGTTAATTTGGAAATGTAGTATTTTTCATAAGGGACATCATGATTCTTGCCATGTTGGCTTAAACAAATTTTGTAAGCTATGAATGCCAATTGATTGGAATTTTTATAAGGAATTTAACGAGGTATGGCATTCCAACATTTGACCAAAAAAGTGAGTATAATAACTAGAATAGTTATGAAGATCTATTATGTTAGTTTTGTAGATAAATTTGTGTATATTAAAACATAAGGGTTAATGATACATTTTTTCAATTACTTCTCTTTAGTCCTATAACTCAGTTCCCTGGGGTCTATTTGTATTTTTTAGCTTTGAGTTATTTTATTATATAAAGGGCAATTTTTTGTTCAAACCATAGCGACTCTTATGCATCGATGTTCTAATTCAAATTGCAACGTCAACGATACATTTAACTGGCTGACTGAACCTTCGAGTGGCGACTTGGTTGTCGTTGCTGCGGTTGTCTGTTTGCCGACAGTCGAGTGGCTTGCATCGAATTCACTAATTGCATAACAAAGTAACATTTGCATATTGTTCTACACATGTTAGTGGCTGGATTCGGATCCACCTTGTCGATAACTTCATTACAAAAATTTCCATGCACGGGTAGTGCTGAAAAAAAAGCAACACACACATCGGACTGAAGTAGTTCTGGCTCAGGTGGGCACTTGTGCCCATTTAGCGTTAAGTATTACTTGTAACTTTTTGCCATGTGACTGACTGAGAGTGCTCCTCTCCACTTCGTCCTTTTCACGTCCTTCCCCCTGCATTTCCACAGGCCAGACAATGCATTGTGGCGATGTTCTCAGAAATCGTTGCCTAGTTTTATGGGCCCCGAACATGCAATGGATGGATTTACTTTTCAGCTCATTACGCCGCAAATTATATATTATTCACAAGCTTTTCTTTTTCGCCGTGTAAAATTGCTTTATTTTGGGAGGATGACTAATCCGTCACTACTATTAATTCGTTAACAGTTTATATCCGTTCTTAGAGAAAAACCCGATACTATACACACATAAATTAAAAATAAGTAAACATATTAACTTCATATTGGCATTAAGGTGCGAAATAGCTAAAGCCCCAATAACGCAGAAAGTTTTTTCAAATTGAATGTGGCAAAAAAGAAACCTATGTTTTAATAGTTATTATGAATTATTTATAAATTTTCAAAATAAGAAAAAATTTCCTTGAAATGATTTGTTAGCTGCCATAAATATGAACTAATTTGCAAACTATTGTCTCCTATGCATTTGTATTTGGTCTTTTTATGATGTACCTTTGCCAAGCTTAGTTTCGCCTGATGATTATGAGGCTGTTGCTGCTAAATACTAGCGACTATTGAGACTAATCACGCTAATGCCCAAATCTGTCTCAAAACGCGGACGACAGATGGCGCTGCTGTGCGACTGTGTGTGCCTGAATGGGAGTGTGTGTATGTGGATGTGTGTGGCTATCCAGCTGCAGTTGCCTTCAATAATACGCCACGCCAAATGCCAAATAATTTATTTATTATATGTGCAGCTGACCAAAGCTGACTGGACCCCACACACGAACACACATTTGGACAGAGGTATATATATCCAGAGTCCTGAGTGAGATTTCATTACAACTCATTTGACAGTCTTGGTGCACTCGACGCTGCCAAAATGTCATAGCTGAGTGGCATGCATCGAAAGGGGGTTGCGGGGGGGCTGGCACAGGGAGTTACCTACCATCTACCACCCACTGTACACCGCCCATCGCCCACCGCCCTCCGATTCCCGATCCCATAGCCAGCAGATTAGCGGACACGCATCGCGAACTGCCCCTACACCACCCCCTCTATTTACAGTGAAACTTCGCATAAAAGAACATACATAACTCCAACTTTAAATAACGCAAAAGTATATGAAAATAAACAATTGCCTTATTAACTTCAATCTTTAATAACTAAAATTTAAATTTAAAATAAATGTTTAATATTAAATTTCGTTTATAAAACTAGTTTTTATATAAGGGATATTATAGAATCATTATTATAGAATATTTTTAAATTATCATTTAAATTAATAATATGAATAAAAATCTGATCATCCGTTACTGTTAAATTAAACTTAGAAAAGAGTAATTATTGGTGGACTTAAAATATGTTTAAAACTCATTACTACCCCAATCGCTTATTTAAAGTCCACTTAGTTTATGAAAAAACAATTTTTTTTAAACATAAAAAAAAAATAAAAAAAACGGTTGACACTTTTTGAAAACCTAGTTCCTTATATTGAATATGTACTGTACCTCATTTGTGAGCCTCAACACGAAATTAAGCGAAATGAAGTTGACCACGCTTCGATTTTGGCATCAAAGCAAATCGTTACCGCTTGCTGCTTGACCCACCCTCCCCCGGACCACACCTCCTTTTGCCGCCCACCTTTCCCCTCACCCCCTCGTACCCCTGCCTCTGCTGCTGCACTTGCCGCATGCATTGTTAATACAATTCGAGTCCAACGTCAATAACCAAGTGCCACGAATGGACCATTAGTTGAGTTGCGTGGAGTTGAGTTGCGATTCGCCTGATGCGGGCCCAGTCCATATGTCTATATGGAATATCAGAAACACACACACACTCGCTCTTGCAGTTTGTGCATCTGCATTTATGTATTCTATATATAATTATGCGGCTTAGCGATTGCTTGCCTTGGCGGATTCCTACAATCGGCCCCAAAAGCCATGGCACTCCTTGCATTTGATGGCTCAGCCAGGCAGCGAATTTAATCAATAGTAAAAATAGTTTCTTAAAGCTGGGATTAATTTTCTGGCGTTGAAATTATACCCTCTAAAACTAGAAGACATCGTATGAATGGTTAAATTAATGTTGATCTAGGCATTTTAGAAAGATTAATTTGGAAATGTCTAAACATAAACTTGAATTAATTTTAATTGAAAATGAGTAAACTTTTGAGGTGATTGCATTGATTTGATTTAAAATGTCTTAGCTTACTTGCAAAATATGCAGAATAAGTCTAAAGACAAATTGGAATCAAATCATATTAAATCTAGACTTGAAATGTTGGCAAACTTGGAGTTCTAGTTAAATAAACTGGTTTATCTTATTGTCATGCTAATAACATTGGGGTATTTTAAGCACGTTAGCACTTCAAGTATCGTTGCTTTAAACTTAGACACACTAACTATTATTAATTAAAGCTGTTTGATTAAAAAATATACATCTTTTTTAACATAACCAATTTAAAGTAAAAGCATAATTTTTAACAACAATAAAAGCGGAATTAAGCAAGGTTTTCTCAATATATCTTTAATAAATTTTCAAGTTTGATAAAAATTAGTGTTGTTTTGAATTGTGATCCGTTTCTTTAAACTTTAACTCACTAACTATTAAACAACGATTTTAAGCGGAATTAAAAATAATTTTTTTAAGATATTTCCAATAATTTTTCAAGTTTTATAAAAATTAGTGTTGATTTAAATTGTGATCCGATCAAAGCTGTTAAAAATCGCATCGATCTTTACCCCTTAAAGCTGACTTTCCGGGTTGTCCCCAAATTGGATTATCTAAAAACGATGGGGCGTTCGCATCTTCCGCCATTTTCTGTCTGGAAACGCCCCATGTCAGAGAACCGGGAAGAAGGCGTTCCGTGCGAAACCGAAACCTTCGTGTTTTTTTTGGAGTCAACTTCAGCCTGTTTGAGGCAGGCCCTTCGACCTAAGTTCTCTGCCGGATTTCTGGCCTCTAGTCGGGCGTTAAGACCGCATCAATTGGGCGTGAAGGAAGAGTGATTCCCATCCAATCCCATTCCCAGAAACAGTCCGAGTCAAGCGGCACTTGTGCGGCTCTTCTGCGGTCTCGGCTGCGGGGTGGCTGCCACAATTTCTGATTCGCCCAAGCAACAAGCCTCAGACGCAGTTGTCGTGGCAATGCAATTTAGCCAAATTCACAGCAGGAAACGCCAGCGGAAAGGCAAGGGCAACAAATTCTCTAATGTCTAATGTGAGGAGAGTGTAAGAAAAAATAAATAAGTACCCCAGTTGATAGCATATCGAAAAAGGTATGCCCTGTACTTTTTATTTTGATTTTACTTTAATACAATATTTATGTTTCTAACAAAAAATAGCTTATAATAATTTTACAATATAGAAATAAGAATTTTGGTAAATCATTTACAAAACTAAATGACGATAGTTAGACAACTCCAACGATTTTTTTTTAATTTAATCATTTAAAAGGGTCTTATAATATTTTTCATAATTATTTTTGATAGAACAAAAAATATCAAATACATGTATGACAACTTTTAGCCTGATTTTTAAGCTCTATAAAAATTAATGTGCCAAAGCATAAATAAAAAGCATTTTGGTAAAATAAAAGGTTTTTATGTTTTTTTTATCATTTTATATTTAAATATTCTATTCATTATATTTATAAGATGTGGTAAAGGAGTTAAAAAACCGAAAAATCTTAATTTATTAAATCTGTTACCCACTTTACACCCAAACAAATATACCCCTCTGTTTATTGATTACCTCTTACAAAAAAGAATCGAGTTTGTTGGGGAGGAAACGAATTCTCCATCCCCTCGACTGGACAGAT